CGGAGCTGGACGCTCCAGAGAAGCCATTTGTGTGTTTTAACCACATGAATGTGTATAAACACCAGAGAGAAAGGGACTGAGTAATGCTGGAAAAATGATTGTGGCCCAGGAGAAAACAGTGGTATAAATAATAGGGGCGGTGTCTCCTTCTTCCCTGCACTGTAGGCAGTTGTAAATTCACATTTACCCAATACATCTGGAGTGTGTGCCAGTGCCAGGCCTGGGGCTAGATGCTTCAGCAACCCTCTGTGCAGCTACCTTGGCCTCATAGGCCTGTGCGGAATGGATGCTAGCACCGTCCTGTGGGTTTGGAAACCAAGGTGCAGAGAGGTTAGCGTCTCGTGGAGTGCTCAGAGCCCCTACTTCCACCCCTACTGGCTTCTCACCCCTCGCCTCCCCATCTAGCAATTCCAGGGCTGGGAGCACCCTGACTTGGCAGGCTGACCCAGACTCCGTGGTGGGGCCTCCCCCCAGGCCCCTTGTTCCTTCCCCAGCATGCAGCTTCCCTTCCCAGGCCACTGGACACGGCTTTTCATCCTCTGGGTCCATCTGGAGACAGAAACCACGCCATAAGCTAACCAGGGACTTTCATATAGAGAACTATTACCTATGAGAAGTGAGTAACTCTAAGACAAAGGGAAGCTGTGTTGTTTTTCTCTAGGGCTGAGGGAGTGTGCCCAGTAAAGAATGAACATGGGAGGAAGTATGGTTCAGTCCACAGGACACAGAGATGTGCCCACCGTTTGGCTGGGCCGGAGCCAGTCTGGAGTTGCTGGCAAGCAGTAGCCCCCAGTGTGGGCAGGAGAGTAGCCATCAGCTTCCAGCAGTGATGGGTGCCAGGGGGTCCAGGCACCTGCAGAGGCAGGAGGCCTTGGGAGTGTGGGGACTCTGGTTTCCATGTAGAGAGGGATGTGGGAAGATTATCACCAGGCCGAGACTGCAAGGTGGCAGTGGGACAGAGTTCTGGGCCCGTGGCTGGGCAGGCCCCTCTGGTTGTCCTCCCCCACCAGTGACCCAGGCTGGCAGGAGAGCTGCTGCCTCCTCAGTGCTCCTCAGCACACTCCACTGACACAGCTCAGCACCCTGCACGTCATGGAGAAAGAGCTGAAGGACGCAGCCTGTCTCAGAGTGGGTAGTGACAGGGGCGTCAGGACCTGAGGGGCAGTAAACTGCCACCCCCAGTGCACTCGCCGCCCACCCTGTCAGAGGAACAGCCCTCACCTTGTGCAGAGACTTCACCTTTATGGTACCCGCCATCACCGCGCCCAGGGCAGCCCCACAGTGCTGCGCATGCTGGCCTGCCTGCCTGGCACTGTGTCTTTCCCCTTTTCTCTCACCAGGCCTGGCACAGAGAAAGTTCTCAAGCAGCATGTGCTGCCTGAACTCACATTGCCACAGTCAGGGCCACAGCCCCTTGGTGAGAGCAAAGGGCACCACCTGGGAAGGGACAGATTCTAGTGCACCTGTCCCATCATCTTTTGCTTTCAGAAGTCCCATGACTAGAAACTGCAAAGGTCAGAACATCTGAGTCTTTGATGGAATCTGTTGGAGATGCTGGTAGTTGCTGCTCTGTGAGCCACTTTATTGTTCAACCCTAAACCTTAAGAAACCAGCAGATGCCCTTTCCGAAGCTGACAGGCCCAGGTGCCCAGTAGTGTTTCCTTGAACGTCTCTCTTTTGCAGTATAATTGATGATATGTAAGCTGAATAGAGATGTTGCTTTCTTTCCCCATTTCAAGTGCACATTGGATTATAGCTAATCTTTCAGTGCAAGAACAGCACGCATATACCAGAGGCAGAACTCAGAAGTTTCCTGGGCATTGTTTCTAGCATGTCCAATCAGTTTCCCTGTGCCTTTTAACAGGAGCTGTCAGCCTGCCATTCTACCCATCTCCCCACAAGCCCACACATTTCAGAGAACAGCTGCGGCTGTCACCTGCCTCCTTTCACACAGTTTGGACAGGGGTCCCATATGGGGGCCTTCACCCAGGTTTGTATGCATGTGCCAAACTCATTACCAGCTCCCAGGCACTATGCAGGGAGGACTCAGACCTCTAAATTGGGATATGAGGTTCACCCCCCAGCCTGGACTTCAGATTTCTCCTCACCCACTAAGATCCCTCTCACCAAGTCCCAGCAAGTCTCCTTGTCTCCTCTCGTGGTGGGCATTGCCCTGGTCTGAATTGCTCCAGGGCATAGCCCCCTCTCCCGCAGGCAGGCTACCTCTCAATGCTTTGCAGGGCTCAGCTTGAGAAGGCATGGCGGGTCCTGACAGCCAACAAGAACCACGCTTTCTTGCCTGATCTTCAGCACCCCCACAGTCTGGCGCCCATGCCCCTCTCTAGCCTTGTGCCCAGCTCACCTGGCAATAGCATCTGCACAGGCTGGGCCTTCCCCAGTCCTCACAGACCAGAGCAGCCTCCTGGGTGGGTCCAGCATCAGCCTAGGTAGGCGTTCCCCATTCTGGGGTGACATCTTATGCTGCCGTGAGGCTGTCACATTAGACGATACTCAGCAGTGGCCTCTTGTGTGCATTGTATTTTTCTAAGTACATCATAAGTTTCCAAGCAGGGACCATGTGCTAAATTTAAATGACTTCCCTACAGTCCCCAGTAGGCACATGAGGGACACCACTCAGTGGCCGATGGGAAAGCCGAGGGCCAGCTTGGGAGACTTCTGACAATAGGGCCACAGGAGATGCCCCCAACCCTGGTGGAGTATTGGAGAAGACAGACAAGCTGCCTCCAAGGACATGCATTCACTCAGTCATTAGGCTTGTGCTGCAGGTGAGGTTTTGTGGGTAGAGTTAGCAGAGTTCTGCAAAGACATGCTGCCAGTGAATGTTTACTCTGCGTGGATTACAGCCTCTCTCCCCCGTTTTTCAGCTTGCCCAGCTTCCCTCTGGGTCACGCAGTTAGGTGGTGTCACGACCAGGGACTTGTCTGAGTGGCATGTCTCCTGGTGAAGGCAGTAGCCTGTGGGATGACATCTGACAGAAACTTACTGTGGTTTGGGCCTGGGTGGCAGGAGGCCAGCAAGGACCTACAGGGCTGGGGCTGGCATCTTGTCACAACAAAGCCCTGCGACTCTGGAACAGCGGAGGGTGGGTCCAGCTTTGTGCATGGCTGAAGCCTCACACTGCCCATTCTCAGGCAGCACAGCTCTCACTGAGCAGCAGGGGGTCACCAGGGTTAGGGCACCATCCGCTGTGCCACTACAGCTCATTCAAGGTTCACTGGCACACTTCAACGGCATGGTGGCACTGCCCTCCAGAGCAGCCCCCCTGAGCCACCTCTGCCTATGGAGCCAGGGGCTTCAGGTGTGGCCCATGGCAGGCCATGGGCCCAGGTGCCTACAGCTCGCTCTTTCTCCTCCCCATGCTAACCTAGAGCTCATCCACAGACAGTGTTGGGGTTACTGTGACACACCCCCACTTCTTCCTGCCTGGGTTGCACAATTGCACAGTGATTCATTTACCTCCTCTTGGGAAATACTGTAGCTCTTTTTTGAGTCTTCCTCTGTCACCAAGGCTGGAGTGCAGTGGTGCAATCTCGGCTCACTACAACCTTCGCCCCCTGGGTTCAAGCGATTCTCTTGCCTCAGCCTTCTGAGTAGCTGGGACTACAGGTGTTTGCCACCACACCTGGCTAATTTTGTATTTTTGGTAGAGATGGGGTTTCACCATGTTGACCTCCGGACCTCAGGTGACATGCCGACCTTGGGCTCCCAAAGTGCTAGGATTACAGGTGTGAGCCACTGTGCCCGGTCCATACTGTAGCTCTTACAGCAAACAAACAAACAACAAATTGGCCTAATAATTTTTATTTATGCTTTTGCTAGATGGAGCTAGAATTTTATTTTTAAAGAAGGAAAGAAAAAAAAAAAAAAAACATAGGAGTTTACAAAGACTGAACGTCCCGCCAGGCATGTGTCACTTTGGGTTAGCCGAGTGCCCTGCCACCCTCAGCCAGCTGCCCACGGCTGCACATCAGACAGGTCAAGCGAGCACATTTGCGTCCCCGGGCACAGCGGCACCCTGGTGGGTGTCCACTTGTCAGCCACTCCTCAGCAGATGGGGTTGGGGGGCAGGCCAGCCCCACCCATGGCACCCGGTGCTGCACAGGCTCTGTGGACCTGGGACCTTTCGGCAGGCTCCTCTCTTCACCTCAGCCTGTGGGGACCCAGCTCCGGGACCGTGGCCTGCTGTTCTCAGCAAGATGCCCGCAGCCCTAGCCCATATCTGCTGTGGTCCTGTGCGCACCCTGCCTTGGGACTTCATACCAGCCTTTCAAGAGGGATGGGAGTCATCTGTGCTTTGGGTCCCCTCACGTCCCCAGAGGGAACAAGTGGGGACAGCGCCTCCCAAGCCTAGAGCCAAGGGGCCACTCTTTCCTCAGAGGAGTCACAAAAGGTCCTAGAGCCCAGACCCTCCCCTTCTCCAGGGGCTGTCGTGCCAGCCCCCAGACCTCCCGTACTCTGAATTTCTAGCCTCTTGTCCACTGAAATGGAAAACATCCTGTTTTGAGAGGAGCTATTCCCACCCATTCTCAGGTGTGCAGTATAGGACCCTGCACTGGTCCTTTGGGGTACACTGCAACTCCCAGAGCCCTTTGTGGGACAATGCCCTCTGCATTCATTTCCTGCCTCCTGTAGGAACATCTGGATCTACCTGGGTCTGCCTTTGTCTTTGTGGGCCACCCCCCTCACGGCCTGTGACCTTGGTCTCCCACCCACTCCAGGTTCCTGTGAACTTCCAGAAATTGTCCTCTGTGTCAGCACTGTGAGGCAGATGGACACTGCCAGGTCAGCCCTCGCCAGTCCGTGAGCAAGCATGCCTCTTGGTGATGCTCCTGCAGGGCTGTGACCCGGCCCCTGCCCCATGGCCCCCCCCAACAACCACAGGCCTCGCCTGCTCAATCTTACATCACCCAGGCTGTGGCTCAGGTTGTCTTGGTGCCTGCTGGGCCGCCCATGTCAGCCTCTCCATGCTTGCTCCGCAGGGCCTGATGCACTCCAGCGGCCCGGTGGGTCGGCACCGGCAGCTCATCCTGGTTCTGGAGGGGGAGCTCTACCTCATTCCTTTCGCCCTCCTGAAGGGAAGCTCCTCCAACGAGTACCTCTACGAGCGCTTCGGCCTCCTCGCCGTCCCTTCCATCCGCTCCCTTAGCATGCAGTCCAAGGTAAGGCTCATACACAGTGGGGGGTGGGGGAGCTTGCTCTCAGGTCACGAGGCACTGTCTATCCGGTTGGACTGGGCTGTGTTACTAAGGCATAGCTGCGATCTCCTCAAAAGTGTTGATTTTATGATTTGCACACAGGTAGCGTGACTTTAGAGTAGATCTGTCCAAAAGTGGGGCATGGCCCTCCTGACCCCTGGCCATTCTTTGCTACCTTGAGAAGCCACAATTTGTGTCATTTCTAAGTTTCTTCGCTGTGACATCAGGGTCCTGAGCTGCTTTGAGGCACACAGCCAGGCTTGAGGCCTGACTGAGCACCTGAGGGGACTGGTCACCTCCCATCCACACAGTGCCCAGTGGGCATAGCAGAGCCACCCAGTTCACCTGGCCCTCTAGCTGACTGCTGGCCGGGACCCAGGCAGGGAGGGCAGACAAGCAAGTGTGGAGTTGAGTGGAAAACAGCCCAACAGGCCGATGGAACTGAAAACAAGTCAGGTGGCTTTCAGGGGACAAGTGGGGACACAGAAAGAAACACCCCAAAATCAAGAGAGTAACAGTGAGTGGGCCACCCTGAGTTATGGGTCTCACCCCACAGCCACCCTTGGCCCTACCCACCTGATTAGAAACTTTGGAGCCAACCTTTAATCTTCTTCCCCTTCTCCAAGCTCTCAGATCCCAAAACCCTGGCTTCCCTCTGAGCCCTCCAGTCCCACAGGGCCCGGCACCTGCCTGGCATTCCGCTTGCAGCATCCCTGCCTGCCCAGCTGCAGGACTGTCATTACCACAGGGTCTGCCTTGCTCCGTCCTCCAACTTCCAGATGCCCTCGAGCTGCCAGTTGCTCTTAGAGCCCTCAGACCCCATCTGCCCCCAGTACCCCATGGCAGGCCGGGTGGGTCTAGTCAGATGGGCCTCTTCACAGTGGTGGAAAGCGCAGGCAGGGTTAGGAACCGGGGCTGGGCGCTGTGCATGGGTGGTCCCCACAGGGCCTGTCTTGGCGGCTTTGATGACTCGCTCATTGGCATGGCCTAAGTGGGGTCAGTTTCTGCCTGAAGGTATTTGTAGATCTGAATTTTGACCATTTTTGTAGCTGGGTAACACTTTTCTCGTGAAGCAGACTATCAGTTCAAAGTGAAAGAAATTATTTTCTCTAGGTTTCTCAAGTTTCCGTGGCTGACTCTGTGAATCTCGGATAGGAAGTGAGCTTCCTTCTGGGATTCTCAACGCTGCCACCACCCAGCGGCCCATGGCGCCAGCTGATAGCACTCTGGGTATCAGATGCCACCATCTTCGGAAAGCTTTTATTTTGATGACAACAGCCAGCCAGCTAGCTAGCTGGTTGTAGCTTAACCAGAGACCTGGAAGAGGCCATCTCCTCCAGGCACCTGGTGTTTCTCTTACCCAGAGTTTAAGGAATCGCCAAGCAGAGGCACTAAAAAGTTGTTTTGAAATACTTCATACTTAATGTTCATACTTCATACTTAATGTTTCCCAAGAAGTATCAAAAGTCATCATAGTGGAAATTCAGACAGATGTGACTGGGCTTGTTTATGCTGATTTTCTCATTCAGTGATACTTTTTACTTTGCAGCATATAAGGCGGAAGGGAACTAGAATTTTGTCAGTATACAGAGCTTCTTAGAGGACTACGTTTAGCCCTCTCTCCCCAGGACTTGCTTGCTTGTTTGCACCATTTAAACAGAATCACTTCTCAAGGCCCCTGACTCACCAGGACTGGGCTTCCTGTTAGGAGCCACATAGAGAGGTCTGTGGGAATGAGGATTGTGGAGCAGGCTGGCTGTCCCGGGTTCCACGGCCTCTGTCCACTCTGCCATGTCGGGGCCTCCTCCTGCAGCCCTCCCAGGACTCCTACCATCCAGTCCTGATGATTTTCAAGAGCTCATCATTGGCAGGCGTGATTCTCAGTAAGTTAGGCACCTGTGTCAAAAAGAAGAGTGAATGAGGTGACTGGGGAAACAGGTGGATCCAAGCTTGACCAGCAAAGAGCTGGTCACCCCTGTACTCGGCTGACCACTGCTGGGCAGCCTGGCCGTTCTGACGTGTGGTCTGCTTTGTCCCCTCCCCTCCTAGTCTCACTTACGGAAGAACCCGCCCACATACTCCAGCTCCACATCCATGGCGGCTGTCATCGGCAATCCCAAGCTCCCATCGGCCGTGATGGACAGGTGGCTGTGGGGGCCCATGCCATCAGCCGAGGAAGAGGCCTACATGGTGTCTGAGCTGCTGGGCTGCCAGCCCCTAGTGGGCAGTGTGGCCACCAAGGAGAGAGTCATGAGCGCCCTGACCCAGGCTGAGTGTGTCCACTTTGCCACCCACATCTCCTGGAAGCTGTCGGCCTTGGTCCTCACGCCCAGCATGGACGGCAACCCTGCCAGCAGCAAGAGCTCCTTCGGCCACCCCTACACGATCCCTGAGTCCCTGCGGGTGCAGGATGATGCCAGTGATGGAGAGAGCATCTCAGACTGCCCGCCCTTGCAGGAGCTGCTGCTCACAGCCGCCGACGTCCTGGACTTGCAGCTGCCCGTGAAGCTGGTGGTGCTTGGCTCCTCCCAGGAGTCCAACAGCAAAGTCACAGCTGACGGGGTCATTGCGCTGACAAGGGCCTTCCTGGCTGCCGGCACTCAGTGTGTCCTTGTGTCTCTGTGGCCTGCACCAGTGGCTGCTTCCAAGATGTTCATCCATGCCTTCTACTCATCCCTGCTGAATGGCCTGAAAGCCAGCGCTGCCCTGGGGGAGGCCATGAAGGTGGTGCAGAGCAGCAAGGCCTTCTCGCACCCCTCCAACTGGGCAGGTGGGAGCTCGGCCGGCTGTGGGTGCCTGTCAAGGCCTGGGGCTCAGTCCCCATAGTCTTCCGATTTCATTCTGAAAGTGGGGTTGGGGAGGGCAGGACAAGGACAGCCGTGGAAGAGTGAGGGAGACAGCCTGTGTGCCAAGTCTTGCTTCTGCCAAATGAGTTTTTCCTAGTATTAAGATCATCTTTGGACCAGGAAGCAACAAAACCATTTGCTATGAAAGTATGAATGTAAAACCCCTCCAGATGTCAGGGTACACTGGATGACCCATTCCATAGCACCTCATTTAAACCATGACCGTAGAAAGGCGTGTGCGGTAAAGAGACTCAGGATGGATGTAGCTCTCTGTCCTGGCAGTGTGGCCTGAGATAGGTTATTTACCCCTGCAGTTGTGTCCTCAGAGGTAACAAGGGGATGATGGTGGTGCTGAGGACCCCACTTGGTGCACATTTGGGAGGATCTGTAAGAAGTGTACTGAGTATCTTGTGAAGCTTCAGGCCCTGCGTGTTCTGGAATACATGTTCTGAGGGAGCCTGCGTGCAGAGGGTGCCGGAGGGTCTAGGGAGTGAAGAGAGAATGTTCCTGTGACTTCCGGTCACAAGGGCGTGGGAAGGGAGGTACCCCTCCGGTGTACAGAGCTGCCTTTCAGCTCCAGGCAACAACGTGCTTCCCCTGGGGTCCCTGTGGGAAGGTGCCCACAGCAGTCACTCAGAGGGCTCTGCTATGCAGGAGAGCCTGCCAGGCCAAGACTCACAGAGTGCAAACCACACTCTGGGCCTGTTCCCTTACACAGAAAGGAGAGGTGAGCCCTGTGGTTTCCATTAGTGCCCTTGCCGTACAAGTCCTGTGCTACATGCTCCTGGCAGTCAGAAGGGGCTTTGGGCCCCACAGAACCTACTACAGGGCTTGTGGGAACCTGGCCCCTTTCCTGTCTACAGGTCTTCCCAGTGTGCTTACGGGCATGGAATTTTGAAAAAGGTCTTGGTTTAGTTTTGTTGATACGTAATATAAGTCACAACTTTGTTCTGGATGAAACAATTTTTAGTGATGCTCTCCTCTTACCTTTAAAAATAGGTCATTCTCAGGCTGGGCATGGTGGCTCACACCTGTAATCCCAGCACTTTGGGAGGTCAGGTGTTTGGGACCAGCCTGACCAACATGGTAAAACCCCATCTCCACTAAAAATACAAAAATTAGCTGGGTGTGGTGGCGGGTGCCTGTAATCCCAGCTTCTCGGGAGGCTGAGGCAGGAGAATCACTTGAACTGGGGAGGCGGAGCTTGCAGTAAGAGCCCAGATCACGCCACTGCACTCCCACCTGGGCAACAAGAGCGAAACTCCATCTCAAAAACAAAACAAATCAGCTTGTTCTCTTAGAAAATCCATTTCCTACACCATTTAGTGCAGGTTGGTCCTGAAGTTGCCCGTGAGCTTGAGGAACCTGCTCCCCCAAGCTCTGTTTTGGAAGTGTGTGTGGAAAGGAGCAGGCGGGATGCGGTGCTCCTTGGCCCAGCTGGTCTTTCCCAGGCAAACTGAGTTTGCTGGTTTAGAACTGGAGTAGTCACTCCTGCCTCCCCGTGGCCCCGAGGAGGAGAGGAGCGTACCTCCCTGCCCTGGCATGTTCCCTCCTAAAGGCCTAGAGATAGATAGACATAGATGAATTTCAGAGAAAATAAGGCAGGTTTCCCCACTACACTTCCCACTTGACTCCTTTCTGCAAAACAGCAGGCCCCACTTACCTGAACAGCTAAACAATATTGATTCTTAAAAGGAAGGGGACAGGCCAGGTGTGGTGGCCCACACCTGTAATCCCAGCACTTTGGGAGGCTGAGGTGGGCTGATCACGAGGTCAAGACATCGAGACCATCCTGGCCAACATGGTGAAACCCCATCTCGACTAAAATACAAAAATTATCTGGGTGTGGTGGTATGCGCCTGTAGTCCCAGCTACTCAGTAGGCTGAGGCAGGAGAATTACTTGAATGCAGAAGGAGGAGGTGGAGATTGCAGTGAGCCAAGATTGTGCCACTGAACTCCAGCCTGGTGACAGTGAGACTGTCTTCAAAAGAGAAAAAAAAAAAAAAAAAAAAAAGTGGACCAAAGGGTGCCACATCACCGCCCGGGAGTCAGATGCTGTAGTCCAGCCTGTGAGCCACTTGCTCTTTCTGCTGGGTTAACCGTGAGGCATAAGTGAGCCCTTGAAGCCAGGTGGGGCTGGGGGTCTCCAGCCATCCTGCTGAAGTGCCCTCCCATGCTCTCCGCAGGGTTCATGCTCATCGGGAGTGACGTTAAGCTGAACAGCCCCTCATCGCTCATTGGCCAGGCTCTCACAGAGATCCTGCAGCACCCGGAGCGCGCGCGGGACGCCCTGCGAGTGCTGCTGCACCTGGTAAGAGGGCCGGGCTGGACCAGAAGGGGAACGCAAGGTTTCCTTACATTGGGATGTGAGCAGTTGGAGAGGGCATCGTGACTGGGGCCGTGTCCAGGGTGTCCCTGGGTTGAGCCTGCTTGGGAGACCCTTGTCCCAACAAAGCATAAAGTGGGCAGCATCCCCAGGGTGCTTCCGTGGACGTCCCTGGGATGAGGCCACTGGCCTGAGTAGTGGGCACAGTGTGTGGTGCCATACAGGTGGCTTAGCGGTACTCACTGGGGCCCTGGGGGAAGGGCAGCCAACGACAGTGACCCACACCCTAAGCTGCTTCTAGGCCATGTGGCTTTGGGCAAGTCACTTTGTCTCTCTGAGCCTCAATGTTCCCATCTGGAAGGGGGATAAAAGTTTAACATCTCAAGGTTGTGAGGATTTAAGAAAATGTGAGCACTTGGTACACAGTAGAGTCTGAAGTGGAGAGATACTATTTTACCATCAGATGACGCCAGTCTGCCCCTAATGAGTCCAAGTCTGATCATGCCCTTGACCAGCCTGCCCCAACATCTGTGGAGCCCAGGTGAGGGCACAAATGGAGGGCCCTCGTCTACATGTGTAAAAGTCATGAAGTTAGTCAAACAGTGACGTAAAACTCGTCTCATCCTCCTACCTCGGTAACATCCTGGACAGCCATTTCAAATCATTTAGAGTGCTGGGCCAGAAAGACCAGCCCCGGCCCACCCCATCTCTTCCTAGCCCAGTGCCAGCCTTGGGCCCATGCAGCGTGGGTTAACAGCTATGCCACAGCCAAACTCCTTCCAAACCTGCCACAGACCCCAGGGCCTCCTTCCGGGCTAGTGCTGCACAGCCTGGCTCTGTCCATGGTTAAGATGGAGGACCCGGGGCAGCATCCACGCAGGCCTGGGAACGAGCATGTCTTCTGGGCTGTGCAGACTTCTTGCCCATGGGTTGGGCCTGAACAGGAGGGCCCTTAGACCCCTGGCACCTGGCCCTGGGCATGGTAGCTCTCCATGCACACACACATTTCTTTCCAATTTTAGTATATGTGCTGCCGAAGCGAGCACATCACACACACATTTCTTAAGTTTGGGGTCTCCTCAGGCCTGAAAGCCATCAATATATGAACACCGTGCCCAGCAAGCCCCCAGCACTCAGGCCAGGTTCGAGATGGCCCACACTCAGAGTGATGGGAAGCCCTCTTCACTGTTCCCGGTGTCTGGAAACTGCATGGAACCTTTCAGTTCTCAGGTCCCTGTGACCCCCAAAGTCCCTGCATCCTTGCCGCCACTGCACACTGCTTTTTTGGGGTAATGGAACTGCCCTCTCTACCCATTAGGCCACCTCCTCCCAGGCCAGGCCTCTAGCTGCCCCACATGGCCTTGAGGCACCTCAGGCACATTGAAGGGTTTTCCCTTCCTTGGCACTATCTCAAGTTCCCCAGTCCCTACCTTCTAACTCCTCCTGGATACTCCTGACCCACTGTACAGTGTGTGTTGGAGGGCCCCCTGCCAGGGTGGATCGTCTGTCCTCCCAGGCAGGCTCGTTTCCTCCTGTCTGGGACGCAGAGCCCCAGCATCCCAGTGTTTACTCACTTAAAAAAAAAAAAGTCTCAAGTGACACCTTGGACCACTCATGCCCCTCCAGTGAGGGCACATGTGCCTCACAGGGCATTCAACATCCTAGAGTGGAGAGGGGTTTCCACCAGAGAGACGCCTACCCAGGGAGGCCTGACGAAAGCTGTTTGCACTATTTTTTTTGGTGTGGTTCTTTTGGGGGGCAGAGTTGGGGTCTCGCTACGTTGCTCAGGCTGGTCTTGAACTCCTGGGCTCAAGTGATCTGCCAGTCTTGGGTTCCCAAAGTGCTGGGATTACAGGCATGAGCCTCCGCACCCCTCAGCTGCCCCTACTTAACCTTGAGGCCTTGAACTACTGTTTTGCACTACCGTTGAAACACTCATGTAATTCATGCAGCAGTGACTTGGGTGACTTCAGTGTAGAAGTGCCAGGCACCTGTTCAGGCCCTGGATGACAGGAGGGCACTTCCCAGTGGAGGGAGCTATAGGCTGCAGAGACCAGTGTGGAGGGACCAAGGCTGAGTGGGAGGAACAGGGAAGAAGGGCACTGCCAGCCAAGACCCCATGATGGGGCTGGGCTGTGGCAGTGAGGGAGGGTACTGAAGGGCCCGAGGGTTTATCCTAGTGGGCAGGAGCCATTAAATGGTTTGAGGCAGGCCCCTGGCCTGTGTGTTGAGACACTGCTTTACTCTCTATGGAGTGTGTGGAAGGGGTGGTTTAGGGGAGGGACAGAATCCTTCTGTTGTACCAGCCTTCGAGGGCTCCGACTGTAAAGTCCTTCCATTCCGTGCCCTCCCTTGCAAGATACCTGGCCAGTGCCCCAGTGTCATATCCTCAGGCCTGGCCACGGGGGCTAAGTGGGGTTGCAGTAGTCAGCTTCACTCCTGGGGCTTTGTGTACCCTCCAAGCCACATGGGCAGAAACTGAGGCTGGCCCAGGTCTCTGACTCACCCCCAACTCCCCCCCAGGTGGAGAAGTCCCTGCAGCGCATCCAGAATGGGCAGCGCAACGCCATGTACACGTCCCAGCAGAGCGTGGAGAACAAAGTGGGCGGCATCCCTGGCTGGCAGGCCCTCCTCACTGCTGTGGGCTTCCGGCTGGACCCTCCGGCCAGTGGCCTGCCAGCAGCTGTCTTCTTCCCAACCTCTGACCCGGGCGACCGGCTCCAGCAGTGCAGCAGCACCATCCAGTCCCTGCTGGGTGAGCTGTGGGCGCAGGGCTGGGGCGGCAGGCCTAACAGCAGGTGGAACAGTTGGTGACCCTGGGCCCCACATTCATGAGGATGCTGGATCTCAGCTAGGAGCAGGAGGGTGCCCCAGACACGAGCTTCTCCATACCTGGAGGAAACAAGGGCCATTGACCTGCTGTTTCCATCTGTGATGGCAGGCATGTGTGCCCAGCTGCTGCTGCCTCTTCCCGGGATGACGGGAGGTCGTGCTGGCAGACACTGGCCACTTTTGCCATTGTCATCTGCAGCTGTGGTGATGACGCTGTGTGGCCAACCCCCGGGTGAAGCTAGGTGCTTGACTTGGTGTGGTGCTGCCTGGGTCCTGGGAGTGTGGCCATGCCTACAACTGTGGCAGGGTCAGGACTCGCCCCACTTCCACCCACCTTCCTGGGAGACCACGCTGTCCTTTTCCAAGTCATACACAGACACACATGTCCAGCTGTGCTGAGCTTCTGAAAAATGCCATCAATGCAAAAGATTTAGGGTTCTTTCCCCTGGGAAGGTGGCAGTCTGTGGGTGCAGAGGCCCTTCTGTCTAACTTCTTCCCTCTTTTCTTGGTTTAGGTCTGCCCAATCCTGCCCTCCAGGCCCTTTGCAAACTCATCACTGCCTCGGAGACGGGCGAGCAGCTCATCAGCCGGGTAAGTCAAGCCTGGAGGGCTGAGGCAGGGCCGGAGCCCCATGCTGATTTGAAAAGGCAGAGCAACTTGGCTTAAATAGGAACCTGTAAGTTAATGTAGTCAGCCTTTGTGATTCGAAGGGGAAGGTGAGGGCTGGGAAAGAGATAGCCCTCTCTGACAAGTGCTGTTTACCTGCTGTTTCCATCTATGAAGGCAGTGCATCCATGCCAGCAGCACTGCCCCTTACTGGGATGACAGCCAGTTGTGCTGGCAGACACTGGCTGCTATTGGCATTGTCATGGGCATCTGTGGCCCTGATGAAGCTGTGCAGCCAACCCCATGGTAAAGCTGGGTGCCTGACTCAGAGGGGCACAGAGGAACAGGCTTGCATAGTGTTCTCACGGGGTGCTGAGCCCAGAGCATCAACAGCCTTCAGAGGATGCTTCTGGGGCCCCTGTCACCTGTGGTCTCGGGGCATTTCCTGAAATCTCCATGTAGTGGTCTCCTGAACCTTGTCCTCCTCACCACCTTTTCAGCAGATTGACAAGTGTTACAGCCACTCTCCCCCAGCTACCAGGTGTGGGCCAGCCCGCCAAGACGGGTGCAGGTGCTCCCATACTTTAATCAAAGGTCTTACCATGCCTGAAACAAGACAGTCACCGAGGCGAAGCAGGGAACTCTAATGCAAGATACTGCCTAGCAGATGCGTTTCCTTTCAGGAAAATAGAGATCTAGTTCAGGAGTTTGGGGGTTCTGATTCTTAGCATCATGTAGGTCCTCTGCAGCTTGGCCTGGGAGCTTCTCAGTACCTATGCTGTACCAGTCCACTCTGGCCAGTGAGAGGCTGGGCCAAGCTCTGGGGGGACAGCTGTGGGAGCACTTCTGGAGGGTGGAGCAGCCCTTGAAGAGCACAGAGCTGCTTTTCTGGCCATATTGGAGTGTCACAATTTGAAAAAGTAATATACATTGTTATTAGAGATATTTGCTAGCAAATTTCACTTAAGCAGAAATATTTCTATAGAGAAATAAAGCCACTCCATCCAGTATTAGCCTCTGAAACTCTGAGTGCTGTCTGGAGCTTCCTTTCACCTGGGGCTGTTTCCACCTGGATTTGGAACTCAGAACCAACACTGACCTGTCCCCTTGGCTGAGTCCCTGCTCATTTTGTAATAAGTGTGTTATGCCTGCTTCTTGAACAGCATCAGGAAGACACTTCCAGAACATTGCATATTAAAGCATCCTGAACCCAGGCGCTCTAGAGGTCTGTGTTCTACAGAATCTGAAAGCCAGAATTGTATTCCATTTGCAGGGCTACGCTGAGGCCAAAAGAGCCAGTTGCTTAATTTCTTGCTTTTGATGTGAGCACAGGGGCTTTCTGCCTGATATGCTGTGGGGCCCTAGGGACATGTCCCGCAGCTGCCCCCAGCGGTGGTGGCTGGTGGACCTTTCCTGGGTCACTCGGGAACCAGGGACTTTGGTTTCTTGAGCCGGCTACAAATGCCCACTGCGCTCTTTCCCTCCTGAGCCTCTACTGGCTGGGGAGGGAGGCCTGGCTGACGCTGCCCCTGAGCCCCTGGACCCACACGTGGCTGGCCTGGGTGTGGCTGTCCGTTCTCCTGTGTGTCCCTTGCTGACTCTTGCTCCTCTCCCCTCCCGGTCAGAGCCGCAGGCCTGGTGTGGCGCTTCCTAAACAGTGATCAGCTCGTGTTGCATAACAGCCTGTGCTTGAGTCTAAACTCTCTTCTTTCTCTCTCTTTTTCTTTCTTTTTCTTATAATCTGCTGGCCGAAGGCTGTTAAAAATATGGTTGGAATGGTGAGTACTACTTTAAGTAGCAACTGTCGTCAGGTGAGCCCCTCCACCCGCCCACCCCCGAGTCTCCCTGGGCAGTCTCTGAGCTCGGGGTGCACGTGCTGTCTAACGGAGCCACGCGGGCTGTGGCGCTCCAGGCTGGCGCCCACTACCACTGGCTCCGGCGGCCTGTCCCCTCCTCTGCTCTGGCTCCCCTCTTCCTGCTCCACCCTTCTTGTGTCCTTGATTTGACCCCTTAAGGTCCACCAGAACAGCAGGGGCAGAACCAGCTCTGAGTGACACTCTGTGAACCCACACACAGACCCCTGAGGAGAAGTCACAGACCCCGAGATCTGAAAGGAAATGGACACTTGAGTGGGCCATGTGGGTTAGTCCCTGAGCTCCGAGGCTCTAAGATGTAACCAGGTTCCTCTTGGCCATCCACCGCAAGGTTCTGCAGATGACTTACGAGGGAGGTGGCTGGTCCCCTAACTCATCCCTTTGAGTCTCCACGGCCTCTCATCTGAGGCTCGAGGTAGAACCAGGCCTGGGCCCCGGCCCCAGCAGGCCACACAGCCTCTTGCCCCACTGCCCATGAGCTTCCCACAGAGGACAGTAGGTATGACAGCACCTGAAAAGGAATTTCAAATGCTACACACCCGTGAGAGGGTCATTAGCGATGCCAGTGACAGGTGACATGAGAATAATGGGTTGAGTCCTGAGGCGGGGTGGCGGGGAAGGAGACACAGGGTGCTCACGTTGTCCTCCCTTCCTCAGCTCCACCAGGTGCTGGTTCAGCTCCAGGCTGGTGAGAAGGAGCAGGACTTGGCATCAGCTCCCATTCAGGTCTCCATCAGCGTCCAGCTGTGGCGGCTCCCGGGATGCCACGAGTTCCTGGCAGCTCTAGGTAGGCCGAGCATCCTTGACTTAATGGGTTCTTTAATTCAATTTTTTAAGTCTCTGTTTTTCCTGCTGGTTTCTACCAGGCAAAGTATCTCAGTGTCTTCTGAAATATTATTTTAAAAGTTAACGCAGGCTGGGTACAGTGGCTCATGCCTGTAATCCTAGCGCTTTGGGAGGCTAAGTGGGGAGGATCACTTGAAGCCAGGAATTTGAATCTAGCCTGGGCAACATAGGGAGACCCCATCTCTACAATAATTAAAAAAAAAAAATTAGCCTGGCATGGTGTACATTCGTGTAGTCCCAGCTCCTCAGGAGGGCTCAGACAGGAGGATCTCTTGAGCCTGAGAGTTTGAAACTGCAGTGAGCTCCACTGTCCAGCCTGGGTGACAGAATGAGACTCTTTTTTTCCTTCCAAAAAAAAAAGTGAACTCAGATTCTAGTGGGTTAGCAGGACTCCCAAATGGGACACATGGCTTTGTGCCATTTCCCCTGCACAGTGATTTCATCTCTCTCAATTGTGCCCATTACCTTAATATGAATCTGCTAGACTCTAGTATTATGGGAGGTCAAGTGTGATTAGGAGCTAAAGAAAACCAAAATTAGAGTCGTAAGGTGATAATAGTTTCAGTATTGTCCTCTGTCAGTGGGTGCTCAAAACTGGCAGGAAAACAGTACTATTAAAACCACCTCTGAGTGACCGTGGGCACCTGGGACTGCATACAGCAGGGGCCTCAGTCAGTGCAGGACACTTGATTTCCCTTTCTCTTACCATTTGTAACATGCAGACATGGCTCCTGACATACTGTTGTGTGCCTCTAATAGTGCATCTGTTGATAGAACACAAGAGGCTGTGAGCTGCTCCTCTCCTGCCCCACTTAGGGGCCCAGTGACTAGCTTGGGAACCATTCACTCCACAGCTTTCTTTGGAACACCTGTTATGTGCCAGGCAATGTTCCAGGCACTGGAGATGCAGCAGCGAGCAAAAGACTAAATTCCTGCCATCCTAGAGTACACTGTAGTGGGAGAACACAATCAAACCAATACAGTGTCTAAGGGACGCCTTAGGAAGCACCTCGGCAGGCAGAAGCCAATGGGTGGGGGCAGGGGCCAGGGCAGGCCCACAGAGACTGGGGTGTTTGCGGGAGAAAGTGCCAGGCTGAGCGAACAGCCACGAAGGGGGCAGAGGGCAGGGCAGATCTGTGGGCTCGGAGGCCAGGGAAGGCCTTTGGATTTTAAACTGCGAGAAGTGGACAGCCTTGAGAAGATGACACTGTCTGACCTTACTGTTACATGGACGAACTGTCAGACATGGCTGGACAGAGAATCCTTAAAAACGCTTCTTCCCGCTCAGGGCCCCACTGTCTGACCTGTTTTGTGCACCTCAACTCAAGGCCAGCTCCATGTCTGCTCCATGTTTTCAGACACATCGTTTATTGTGAAGGTAAAGCAGGGAGGTACAGGGCCTCACAGGGGTTCTGAATCCTCTGGATTAGAAGCTTGGCATCCTTTACAGGTTGCATTACTTGATTTTTTATTTTTTTCTAAGCTTTTTTGTAGAGATGGGGTTTCACCATGTTGCCCAGGCTGGTCTTGAACTCCAAGCAACCCTCTCATGCATCCTCCCAAAGTGCTGGGATTCAGGCGTACGCCACCACTCCTGGCCTACATGCTTTTCTTCTGTGGGTTTAAAGCATCATTTTCCTGATGTAAACGTAGTAAATTTCTATGTAGTCAGCAGCAGATGGAGGCTGGACTGAGAAGGGCCAGCTTCCCACCCGGGATGCTTCTCATCACTTCTGTCAGAAGCTGAAGGGCAAGTCTTGGGGGCATTGCCACAGTGAGTCAGTCAGCAAGACGCAGCTACAGCCTTGCCTCCTTTTTTTTTTTTTTTTTTTTTTTTTTTTGAGACAGAGTCTTGCTCTATCACCCTGGCTGGAGTGCTGGAGTACAGTGGCATGGCGCAATCTCCGCTTCCCAGACTCAAGTGATCCTCCCACCTCAGCCTCCCAAATAGCTCGGACTTCAGGCATGCACCACCCACGCCCAGCTAATATTTGTTCATTTTGTAGACGCAGGGGTTTGCCATGTTACCCAGGCTAGTCTCCATCTCCTGAGCTCAAGTGATCTGCTTGCCTAGGCCTCCCAAAGTGCTGGGATAACAGGCGTGAGCCAATGTGACTGGCCAAGACCTTACTTTATAAAGGAAAAACTCTCTTCCTCATGGGGCCTGAGCCTCCCTTAGGTGTGGGGGTGGTGGAGCCAGCCTTCCTCCTCTGCACACTCCCTGCTTTTGAGGTCCTTTGCCAGATATATCAACAATAGTACAGAGGGAAAACCAAAAAATCTGAACATAGCTGTCTTTGGTGTTAGGATTATGGGGGACTTTAGTTGATGTTTCAGTTATTCTCTGTATTTTCCAAGTGCTGTTGATACTCAAGGGGTGAACTGGTGTGCATGTGTCGGCAACCTTTACAGCCTTTTGACGGAAAGCTGGGAGAGGAGAACGGTGTCCGGCAGGCCTGTCATGTGGGGAGAGGTGGCTGGCTCACTCCTAGGGCTCTAAGGCTCCAAGAGTTGCCCCTTTCCAGTGCTCAGCAGTAAGCACACAGCTTCACAACCCAGCATGGGCTGCCAGAGACTTCAATCATTTTGGTAAAAGTCAAGGTTTCCAATGGAAACTTTACATTGATACTATTCATTATTTGTTTTTAATGTGGAGTTCTCCGAGCCTGAGCAAGTCTTCCTGTTGCTTTCAGAGACTGTTTACTTTCAAATTCAGAGAGGAAAATGTCCCATAACAACCAGAATGTTCCTCTACTGAACCTAAATTCCTACGGGAATGATAGTCTCCGAATCCCCAAGTACAAGTAAAAAGGCTGGCTGGCAGGATAGACGAGAGAGGGAAGGGTGTGCTATTGTAGGTATCCAGCCCTTCGCAGTGTTTCAAGGGGAGCTCAGGGACGAGGGATGCTGAGTGAAGATTTTCCATGCTCAAGACTCTCCAGGCCCTAAATTCTTGCTTTGTGGTCCCCATCTGTATTAGTCTGTTCTCACAATGCTATAAAGATATCACATGAGACTGGGTAATTTATAAAGAAATAAGGTTCAATTGACTCACAGTTCTGCATTGCTGGGAGGCCTCAGGAAACTTACAATCATGGCGGAAGGCGAAGGAGAAGCAGGCACCTTCTTCACAAGGTGGCAGGAGAGAGCGCACAGGGAAAATGCCAGACACTTACCAAACAACCAGATCTCATGAGAACGCCCTCACTATCGTGAGAACGATCCAATCACCTCCCACCAGGCCCCTCCCTCATACCCAGGGATTACAATTTGAGATAAGATTTGGGTGGGGACACAGAGCCAAGCCATATCCCCATCTGTGGCCATAGCATCTGTGCTTGGCTTCTCCCCAGGGTGACATACTTGCTGGTGTCCCTGTGTCTCTTAATGTGTTAAAGTGCTGTGTCCACAGCTTGTTAGCCAGCCTCTTGCTCAAGAAGCTCCAGACCCTATGTTGTACCTGCTCTGAGTCTCATTAGAGTCTTCTACTTACAATCAGGGAGCAGCACCTCTGGGCTTTGGCAGAGGCAGAGAAGTCCCTGCAGATTTCCCATTGTCAGAGAGCGCTCATTTCAAAGCCCACAGGGGCAGACACTGAACATGCATGAAGGCATTGTCTTTGCCCTTGAGAAACTTCACCTTACCGTGTACCAGCTTTAAATATTGCCCTCAATGCTGAATGGAGTGGCCAGTTTTTGTCCTGGACAGCCTTTACATATACTGTACTTCTGTGAAAAAATGGAAAAATCATGTGAGCCTTACTCAGTTCTGGTCCCTAGTGCTCAGTGAAGGGACAGATGAGAGCCATACCCATGCCAGTCAGGGGCTGCGTGGAGTGGATGTTCTGGGTGGGGCGGCCCGGCCCCCACTGTCTTCCACAGGACTGACCTTCATGGAGACAGGGGAAGCCCCAGGCCCGGATGCTTCCTGAAGGGCCTTGCAGGCATTCCGTGAAGTTGTACAAGGAGCCCTATGGCGCTCATGTTCAAGATCTGGAATCTTCCCGAAGGAAGCAGATGCTTATATGCTTTGTTCCTCTAGGTTTTGATCTCTGTGAAGTTGGTCAGGAGGAAGTAATCCTGAAAACCGGAAAGCAAGCCAACCGACGGACCGTGCACTTTGCGCTCCAGTCCCTGCTGTCTCTGTTTGGTAAGAGCCTGCCACGTTCTCCCCGGGGGCCGACATCAGCACATACATTTTGGGAAGCGGAAGAAAAGTGAATCAGCATTTTTTGTGTATGTTAGGGAACAGTTAGGGACTGTTCAGGAGCAGTAAACAAAACTCCCTGCTCTCACGGAACCTGGAGCGTACGCGGTGCTGGCAAGTGCTCAAGCAGGGCACGGGACTGGAAAGTGGGAGGGCAGCGGCGGAGCAGATGGGAACGCGCTGACAGGCGTGCCAAGAGCAGACACCCAGGTCATGTGGGCCTGGGAGGAGATTTTCTGGCCCTGAGGAGACACCCAGCCCACGGATGTTCTTAAGGGCTGAGCTGGCTACAGTGGGAAGAGCGAAATGCTGGCTTGGAAGGCGGTTATGGTTTGCAGGCAGAGCCGACAGGGGCTGCTAAAGGTCATCACAGAATGGGTCAGAGTGGTATCCTGTTTTTTTGGAAGAACTGCCAAAATGGTCGCCCTCTGCTGAGGTCAGGGCAATGGCAGGAGGAACGGGCTTGAGTTCCATCGGGGAGACCTTCGGTTTGTGGTATCCATTAGACACCCATGCAGGCAGCTGCTATGTGAGTCTGGAGTTCAGGGAGAGGTCAGCATGAAGATAGAAACGCGCATGGCGTCACCCGGGGTGCATGCAGGGTGGAGGGGAGAGGATGGTGTCCTTTGGCATTCCAGGCTTCAGAGTGATGAGAAGGGCGCTGTAGAGGAGGGGCGGTGAGGGCAGGGTGTCCCACTGCAGAACTGAGCAGTGGACTCTGGATTTGGCAGTGTGGACCTCATTGGTGACCTTTATGAAAATGATAGGGACAAAAACCTGAGTGGAGTAGGTTGAGAGGGTAGGGGAGAGGTAGTGTGGACAGCGAGTGTAGACGATGCCAGAGGGACTTGTGGGAGGGAGCTGGAAAGGAGGGCAGGAGATACCACAGACGGCTCACAGGCCCCAGGAGCACGGAGGAGGGAGCCCTGCTCAGAGGAGGGCGGATACAGGGTCCCACTGCATGCGACAGGGAGCAGAGTAGACATGGGCCGTGGTGGTGGCAGTCCAGGGTGTGTGTGGCTGTGAACTCTCCTAGAGTGACTTTTGTACCTATGTTAGATTTACTTTTTCTAACAGGACCATATTTTTGAGGATTGTAAGATTAATTCAAGTAGTGTATATGAGTAGTTCTTGTATAATTCTTTGCTAGCTTCTATGCATATAAGGATGTTGTAATTTTGAGAGAAAAATCAAAGTGATCCAGAATTCTGACTGCCCTTTGGGCCCTTGTGTTTTGTGCTTAGATTCCACTGAGCTACCCAAGCGCCTTAGCCTCGACAGCTCCTCCTCCCTGGAGTCTCTGGCTTCTGCTCAGTCTGTTTCCAACGCCCTACCCTTGGGCTACCAGCACCCCCCCTTCTCTCCCACTGGTGCAGACAGCATTGCCTCAGACGCCATCTCTGTGTACAGTCTGAGCTCCATTGCCTCCTCCATGAGCTTTGTCTCCAAACCTGAGGGTGGATCAGAGGGTGGAGGCCCGGGAAGGCAGGACCATGACCGGTCCAAGAACGCTTACCTGCAGAGATCCACCCTGCCTCGCAGCCAGCTGCCTCCCCAGACCCGCCCTGCGGGCAACAAAGATGAGGAAGAATATGAAGGGTTTTCCATCATCAGTAACGAGCCCTTGGCAACCTACCAAGAAAACCAAAAGACACGCTTCTCACCAGACCACAAACAACCCCGAGCTGGGGCAGCCGGAGGTGTGAGAGTCTCCGTGAGCTCCAAAGGGAGCATCAGCACTCCAAATTCTCCAGTGAAAATGACTCTGATTCCCAGCCCCAACTCACCCTTCCAAAAGGTGGGAAAACTAGCAAGTTCAGATACAGGAGAATCAGACCAGTCCAGCACAGAAACGGACAGTACCGTGAAATCCCAAGAAGAAAGCAACCCAAAACTTGATCCACAAGAGTTAGCCCAGAAAATTCTAGAGGAGACACAGAGTCATCTCATTGCGGTAGAGCGTCTTCAGAGGAGTGGCGGCCAGGTGAGCAAGAGTAATAACCCTGAAGACGGCGTTCAGGCGCCCAGCAGCGCGGCTGTCTTCAGAGCGTCAGAAACCAGCGCGTTCAGTAGGCCCGTCCTCTCCCATCAGAAGAGTCAGCCATCACCTGTCACGGTTAAACCAAAGCCCCCAGCGCGGAGCTCCTCCCTGCCCAAGGTGAGTTCCGGATACAGCAGCCCCACCACCTCGGAGACGTCCATCAAAGACAGCCCGAGCCAGCACAGTGGCCGGCCATCGCCGGGCTCCGACTCGCAGACGTCCCAGCTGGACCAGCCTCTCTTTAAACTGAAGTACCCCAGCTCTCCTTACAGCGCTCATATTTCCAAATCGCCAAGGAACATGTCCCCAAGCTCTGGCCACCAGTCTCCTGCCGGCAGTGCACCCTCCCCAGCTCTCTCCTATTCCTCAGCGGGATCCGCTCGCTCCAGTCCGGCGGACGCTCCCGACATTGACAAGCTGAAAATGGCAGCCATTGATGAAAAGGTGCAGGCTGTCCATAACCTGAAGATGTTCTGGCAGAGCACACCCCAGCACTCCACGGGGCCACTGAAGACCCTCCGGGGGGCCCCTGGCACCATGACTTCCAAAAGAGATGTCCTCAGTCTGTTGAATTTGTCACCACGGCACAACAAGGAGGAAGGGGTGGATAAGCTTGAACTGAAGGAACTGTCCCTGCAGCAGCGTGACGGAGCTCCACCGAAAGCCCCTCCCAATGGACACTGGCGCACTGAGACCACCGCGCTGGGCGAGCTGCCGTTGCCCGCCGGCCCTCCTGCCACGGCCCCCACGCGCCCTTTGAGACTTCCTTCTGGAAATGGCTACAAGTTCCTGTCCCCAGGAAGATTTTTCCCTTCTTCCAAATGCTAAAGCATCTTTTATACGCACTGACTCTGAGCAGCCCGCAGACGGGGCCTGGCATTTGCTGCAGCCGTTCCCTGTCTGAGTGCAGCCCCACCGCAGCCACCAGCACCTTCACGAAGCTGTGCTCTCCGGGCAAGAGGCACTACCACGTCCAAAGGCTGCCACACGCACTGGTGGCTTTCCTGGGCCTCTGGACCACATTCACCAAAAGCCGGGACTTCTGTGGGGCTGGTCCAAGAGGCTGGTGGAATTTCCTCCACAATTCACCAAATGTTTGTCTACCTTCGAACTCCCTGCTTCTCATCTGTGATATGATTCTTCACCAGTATTTTGTACAAAAATGGTCTTGGTTCTTGGGTGGGGAGAGGAAAGGGAGCACATATTTTGCTAGGAGGTATATATGCAGTACCTTTTATACACAGAAATACAAATAGAGCTTTTTCTAAGGCTTTCAGGTGCTGGTTGGGGGTGGGAGGTATGAAATTTCTCTAAGTTGAATTCTACAGGAAAGTGTTATATTAGCCAAAAACAGAATAATGGTTTTTAAAATGCCAATGATTTGTAATTAAGTTGTAGCAATTTTGGTCTCATGATAGTGTAATATCTCAGCAACAATGCAATAATTCACATTGAAACAGCGCTTCCATTCTGAACTCTGCTCTGTAAATGTCCGTTGGGTCTCGCTGTCAACCAAACGTGAATTTTCGTAAAAAAAATTATGTGACTCTTATCCAGGCATTTTAGAACTATGCAATTGTGATTTAAAATGCAACTTTGTGCTTTTAAAACATTTACTGACCTTTTTTGTACATGGATAAACAACTTGGTTTTATTATCAATAGTACTTTGCATTTATAGCTATTATTTTTAAAAGCTCAAAAAGTTTTTTAAAATGTCAAATTTTGAATAGTCATCAGTAAGTAATTGTCAAGTTTGGAAGGAAAGGTTGAAATGATTCAGTTTCCTTATAAGCAAGAAAAAAGAAAAAAGAAAAAAAAATCCATGGTTAACTTAGATTTAACCAGAATCCTGCCTTCCAGCTCCTATTCCCTTTTATTAGCTGCTGAATTTTACTCTCTTTTCCCAACTCCAGGTCCCTGAAATGTCTTCTGTCTAAATCCATTGCCAGGTCCCCACAACCCCAGCACCTGCCTCTGTGAGCTGCCCCTAGCCCCTTGCCTTGGCCCTGGCAGCGTCCTGCGCTCCTGCTGTCTGAGGAACCGGCCCCTCCCAGACAGCTGAATGTGCTGGTCCACATCCTAAGTAGCAGGACCTTTTGCTGGGATGTATGCCTGGATTTACGGCCAACTGAGGAGAGAGAGATGTACCTTAGAAAGTGAAGGTGAACTTTTCCTACAGCTCTGACAGTAACTTAGGTTGTTGCCAGCTTGAGGCAGGACAAGGGAATCACCTAGTTAGGGTAACCATTAATTTATTTTAATAAAGGAGAGGCTCAAAGTCCTATTAGTACTGAGTTTAGCTGGAGAACTGAGATAAGGATCTTTGAGGTAATTCTAAAATTCAAATCCTACCTGCCTCACTGTGGGGTTCATAGTGAAGGTGGTCAGCCACTGGGCCTGGCAGGGGTGCTGACCTCAGGATTCCCAGGTTGGGGTTTTACCCTTGGGTGGGATCTCAGCTTCTGAGCATACACTGACAATTTCACCTGTTCCGCAGTGTACTTCTCTGAAAAGAAGAAAGGATAATATTTATCCAATCTGTGTTCTTCTCCTGCGCTCCATCCGAGGGGTTTTTAATTTAACTAACAGCCATGTTGACAAAAGCCAACAAAAAGCATGTCACATTCTAGCCCTGATCCCAACACTTTCAAAGCAAAGTACTTTATAAAGAAGCCAGCGATTATGCGGGTTTCTTTACATTAGTAGGGGAAAGAATGGTAATAAAAGTACCAGTGTAGCAAGTGAAGACCAAATTTATAGCACTGTGCATTAGAGAGCAAAATCAGGTTCCTAACAATGAAAAGTAAACCTCAAGTTTCTAAATCCATATGCAGATGGTTAGGCTGTCCCTCTCTTAGCAAATCTCTCACGGCCTCTTTCTTTCCCAAGTGCCAAGGATCCCTGGAGTAAAGCTCTGGGGTCTGTGCTCTCCTTCCGTGAGGGGAAGGGTACAGCCCTATTTGCCCCCCTCTAGCAAACACCCCCACCACCCTACTGCTGCCTGTGGTTATCAAGCCAGCTAGGAGGACTCATGGACCCTAACCTGGTTTTAGTCCCATGTACACTGTTATTTTAGGTTTCATATTGAAGAGCTAAATGTTTTACGTGATTTTATTCTGTCTTAGATGTAAGTTTCAAGGAGGGGAAAGCAAACGTGATAAAATGATAGACCAGTTTAGAGATCACTAGAGTCACCACCGCTTTATGTCACTGTCAGTCTTGGTGTTCCTATGATTATAATGGATGTAAAAATCATAAACTCAAAGTGAATGTTTCAGGCTACACTGAAAAAAGTATGCCCTTAGAGTGAAGGGAAACAGTATAATTCATCAAGATTTCTTCATGTAGCTCGGCAACTATGACCCACAGGCCAACTCAGGTCAGTGGTCTAGTTTTTCACAGCCAAGAGCTAAGTTAACTTTTTAAAGGATTATATAAGTACTTAGATAATATTCTTGATTTTGCCTTTGGCCCACACAGCATAAAACATTTAATACCTGGCCTTTTTTTTTTTTTTTCCCCTGAGATGGAGTCTCACTCTGTCGCCCAGGCTGGAGTGCAATGGTGCGATCTTGGCTCACTGCAACCTCTGCCTCCTGGGTTCAAGCGATTCTCCTGCCTCAGCTTTCCCAGTAGCTGGGATTACAGGCGCCCACTACCATGCCCAGCTAATTTTTGTATTTTTAGTAGAGATGGGGTTTCACCACATTGGCCAGGCTGGTCTCGAACTCCAACCTCAGATGATCCGCCCGTCTCATTGCACCCAGCCAATACCTGGCCTTTACAGAAGTCTGCTGACTCCTGGTATAGATGACAGAAAATGGATTAGCATTTTGTTTCTCCAGTCTAGGAGGAGCAGTCAGGTAGTAGACAGACTGACTGGCATCCGGGGAGCCCAGGGTATGTGAGGGCCATGTGGATGGAAGCTAATGCCTCCTGCATAGCCCTTGGCTCTCTGTCCCATTTGGGAGGAGTCCATGGATGTGGGTAATATTTATAAAACAATGTTTTGCTTGCCATTTGTAGAAAGCATTGCATATATTTCCTTTTAGCTCAGGAAACTGGCATGTCCCACCCTCTGCTACTCCATCAGATGTAAATACAATGACAATAAGCAGTACAACTCCCCTCTCTTAGAAAACTCAGCAGGACCACAGAGCAAGGGAGTCAAAGCTTTCTTAATTCTCTCCAGTAAATGACTCAACTAATCTGATGATTTCTTAATTAAGTCAAAATACCAAGAGAAAATTTGCTACTAAAACTCATATTTTGATCCACACTGATGTGCAGCACAAAATGAAAAATAGTTTTCACCTCCATCCTATTGTTTTAAATTCACGGTCCACACTGAGACTTGCTGGGTTTTAGCTGGAGATGAATGCGCCACCCACGCTGTCCTGATCCTGCCGTCTCCATCCCAGTGGCTCTCCAGTACGTGACCGTTGCAGACCGCTGCAGCAAGTTCCTGGCCCCTGTTGATCCCGCCACCTCCCAGCCACACACACTTGCAGACCCACAAGAAGAACTGTAGCCTTGATCGTTTCAGTTCAGGTTGGAAAAATGCCATGCAATAATCTGGTTTGCTTTCAGTAAGCAGGCAACAAGTGGAAACTGTCTAATTTTCCTCACCTGTTCTGCTGTTCTATCTAAATGAGTGTAACTGTGGTTTGTGAACTGGGTCCTTGTTTGTGCCAGATCCTTCAAAGTTGTTCCTTATCAGGACACCTGTGGCCCCTCCCCTCTTCAGACACCTTCCCCACTGGCATTCACGTTCCTTATATGCAGTGTTAGCCATCTTTGGCCTACGTGGACTTTTTTTGTAAATTACACAGTTTCCAGACGACATTAAACTTTTTATATTATGAAATTTACCATGTAAAAAGAACTTCATATTTTTATTGAGATTGCTAAGGCACTTGGCCTTCCTCCTTTGTGATTTCAGTGTCTATTAAAGCATGAGTTCCCTCGGTTTTAACTGCTGTATCTGGATCACTTTTTATACACTTTCCACACTGTCTGGGTTTCTCTGCAGTACACGGAGCGGCCGCGTGTCATTACTGAGCACGTATCTCTGTAGTTTATCCCCGTCTCTCCACAGCCTCACATCCCCCAGGCAGAGCACGACTGCGCCCGGCAGAGCTGTCCCACATGTGTCGGGTCTGGGGGCACTGTTGGTGGGGGGTGATTTAGACGCTACTCATGATTGGAGGGCCAGAAAGTTCTACAGTTGAATACGTATTTAGACAAACACAGAGTTCATCACCACCAGCTCCCTACATCATCAAAAGAAACTTCCAAGGAAGTAGTTCAGAAAGAAGGACGACACTTCTATATGCAAAAATGGCAACAGTGTGAGAAGCATGAAGGAATAGTGAAGAACTGGGTAAATGCGAATACATCAACACAAATCTTGCCTTTGGATAACAGTAAAAATACTAGCCAAATGTAAAACGAGGGAGTTAAAGTGCTATAAGTTTGTGAAAAAATTGGAGATTATTTTTAGAGTAAGTTACCTATGTGTAGTCACACACACAGAAATGGAAGTAGAGGGTTATACTTCCAAACTAGTTAGTAGACGAGAAACAGATTAACTCTGGAAATCCCTGGTTGATGTAAAGGAATAGAAAAGGAACAACAAAAACCATCTAAAAGGACAACTATATGATGAAATAATTTAATTGTACATTTCCAAATAACTAAAAGTATAATTGGATTGTTTGTAACACAAAGGATAAATGCATGAGGGGATGATACCCCATTCTAATAATGATGTCATTATTATGCATTGCATGCCTGTATCAAAACATCTCACATACCCCATAAATATATACATCTATGTTCCTATAAAAATTAAAAAATAAGACAAAAGAAAAATATCAGTAATCATTATAAATGTAAGTGAACTAAATAATTAAGCAGCAGACTGACAGATGATGGCAATAAGCCACATGCTCTTTAAAAACCTATATGTAGCTGGGCACAGTGGCTCAGCCTGTAATCCCACTACTTTGGGAGGGCCAAGGCGGGTGGATCGTGAGGTCAGGAGTTCGAGACCAGCCTGGCCAATATGGTGAAACCCTGTCTCTACTAAAAAAACAAAAATTAGGCGTAGTGGCATGCACCTGTAGTCCCAGCTACTCAGGAGGCTGAGGGAGGAGAATCACTTCAACCTGGGAGGCGGAGGTTGCAGTGAACCCAGATTGTGCCACTTAACTCCAGCCTGGGTAACAGAGTAAGACTCCGACTCACCAAAAAAAAAAAAAAAAAAAAAAAAAAAAAAGCAGCAGCTATATATGCTCTTTGAAAAGAAAACCACCAAAGCGTAACGGCCCCAAATGGCTGATGGCAAAAGGATTGGCAAACTAGATATTAAAATAAGAGGCAGGAGGAAAAACAAAGATCCACTTCCTAACGATAAACTTCGCAAAAAGCAAAATTCTAAATTTGGCTGCAGCTAACTATATAGCCTCAAAATTCGTAAGGAAAATTGGTAGAACTACAAGTTTGAAAAAACATGATCATGATGGGAGGTTTTAAGCCACTACTCTCAGTAACTGATAGATCAAGCAGATGAAAAGCTAGAAAGCATATGGTAGGTTCATACAGTTCTGTGAACAGGCTTCTAAACTGCCGTTAAGGAGAACCTGGTCTCTGATAGTGAGACCACGGTCTTCACTTGTACACATGGAATATTTCATGAAAATAGACCTTGCAAAGTCCACATAGCCAGTCTCGGCAAATACAAAGAATTCCTACCACATAATCAGGGCACAGTACAATTAAGAGTCAGGCATC